GTTTTGGCGCAACGCATCCTCGGACTCCATAGTCTCCCTCGGGCGTTACAGGCAAGAGCGGAGAAGAGCGTGCCGGTGATCACTTCCACCAATCACCAAGTGGCTGCGTGGCTGCCCAGTGGCTAAACGCGTCTTGTTTGATTATTGTTGGTGTGTGTCGCTCGTAACACAGGAGAGGAAGATGGTACAAATCGCGACACTGTCATATGGAGAATTCGGGTGGTCGCCTCTCTCCTCTGACCTTGATTCAGCAGAGCGCCCCGTCCTCGCCACCAGAGCTACTCGGGATCCCTTTCAGCCGATTACAACTGCTGGGTTCAGAGCGCTCTGACATTCTAAAACCAGTCACGGAAGTAAAACTTCTTAACACCGGTAATGCATTAAAAAAAAAAGATATTACAGCGTACGTGGACGATTGAGCAAGATGTACGCTCACAACGTGATGAAATAACGGTTGGGACGTAATTTGTGTCACGCTACAGCATGTTCAAAAAAAAAAAAAAAAAAAAAACAGCAGTGTGCGAATTGATTTTTGCACAACGAAACGAAAGCCACTGCTTGAAAAAAGTTGTCAACTCATCGTGTTTTCGACAGTAAACGAGCTGCGATAGCGGTCAAACGTACGGCAGAGCACGCAAATATAACATGGTTAACAAACCGCACTTTTATCACGGCGAAATATTGTGCAAGCAGGATATAGCACATATCGCCGTGTGGCACAAATCACAGTGCATTATATTCGACTTTCCCTTCAATTTACAACACAAATCTTTGAACGCACTTTTACCACACCTGAAAATTTCTTGAAGCGACCACAAAACCCGGTAAAACAGCGGCGAGCTCTGCAATCTTTCTTCGTCGGTTAGGCTTAGCGGATTCACCGCCGTGAGATGAAAGATCTCGTGAAAGCACTGGGAATACTCCACACGTTAACTTTTCCAGTTATGGTCATAAACGATTGTCGTCCCCTCCGTTGTAATCCTCGCACCGTCGAATACACAAGCACTTCTTAGAACCACAAATCAATCGCCGTTACGCCGGACCCCGCACATTACAACAGACCACTGCCGACCATCGTCAACAAAACCACGTGATCCCCGTCCAGCGTAATGACGGGAGCCACGGTCTTAACCCTACGATCGCATTGTGCCATATATTACTTGCGCTCCCTTGAAAGGTCTAAATACAGGCGCCCTAGACTGGTCAAATTCTCTCACCACTGAGCAGGAATGCCAGCCAATAGAGTCGCCAACCGCCTAGGGTTCCTCAATTTCCGCTTTGCTGAGGATGATGACATTCCTCGTAATACCCGATGCCGACAGCACGCGCTCTCCAGAAAAATACAAAGAAATAGCCGGTCACAGTATGCCGCCGTAGCAAAGTCAATGCCGAGAGCTCGGGCCGAAATACGCGCTTGCTCGCGCTCATGAACCAAAAAAAAAGAAAGTAACAAGAGTCGCAATAATAGGGCCAGATGTCATAACTCCGAGCAAAGCGCACATGAAGGCACCCTACTAAAGCCCCTCTATCCTGGGAAAAGTGGCGCCATTCATTGTTGTGGAAATGCTCGAGACGCGTGCCGCGCGCCATTTCTGGGAAGAACATGGCGTCTGAAATCTAGTTCAGTGCTGCGCTGTGCCGCCATGATCTCCCCAAGGGATGCACGTTGCACGTGCCTCGTGCATCGGCGCACCTTGCGCTGCTTTTAACACGTGAAGGGGCCTTACACCACCCTACTACCACACAGCGCGCCCTGACATTCCTTTAAGGCGTTTTAAAATTAAGGCCTATTCACACATGAGCTGCAACGCTGCCTCAGCTCTATTGGTGAGCGCTGGAAATAGACTTTGCTGATGCAGCGTCGACTTAACACTATATTAGTGAAACAACAGTGATGCATGCGCTCATACTGCACTGATACAGAGTTGATACAGCGCTGATTACGGCGGTGTATCAGTATTAAGGCCGCTTCACACCTACAGCAAAATGCTACCTGAGCGCTAATAGTCAGCGCTGAAGATTGCGCTTACCTTTCTCATGCAGCGCTGACTTCGCGCTATCTTAAGTTAGTGACGCAGCGCTGCATCAGTACTAAGTTACGTTCAAGTCAGTGCAGCATCATCGCTGTTCATGGCCTTGATTTAGCGCTGTGGTTTACGTGTGAACCGGCCTTTACGTTAACTTCACTCCCGCGTCAGCGTCGTTCTTAGTATTGATCTTGCGTGATGACGTACGTGTGAATCGGCCTTTAAGTGCCGTGACGCCGCCCCCCCCCCCCTCCTCTTACACCTTGAGCTGTGGGGGGGGGGGGGGGGAGGGGTGGAGAGGAGGGGGGAGGGGGGGAGGGGGAAGAGTGAAGTTTTGGGTCGCTAAACTTTAAAAAGAAATAAATCAACTTCGTCCTTGTTCTCCTCGGGCTGAACTAACCAAATTATAATCGCTTGGTTCGCGTCTGTGCCCATCGAATAGAGCACACATACAGAAGGGAACAGGACAAAATAATATCGTTCTGAGGCAGCGCGGTGACCGTCTTTATGCGGATTTTCATCCCACGCTTTTTACCTAATGGTCCGGAAGACCTGACGTGACGGGAAATCAGTTACAACTACGGCGCGCTCGATCACGTTAGGAATAATCAATAATGTGCCGCTGAAGCAAGATCGTTGAACCAAGGGCGCCTTTCGAAATCCGAACTTCGTCCGAGACCGCCTTAGGACAAGCTCTGAGCGTTAGAAAGACTCTTTGCGGCTTTTCGCAAAAATAAACCGTCAGTGTGCCAAGTTGATTCGCTCAATCACCGGAGTCCGCAGTGAATCGCCATGCTTCGTTGGAAACGTTCTTCGAGCGTAGACGGAGCAACGGTCGGCACGCAACCCCAGCGATCAATTGCGTGCACTGGCGGAAAGTCGACACCCAAGCAATGTGATTTCATTTTCGCAACACAAAGCCCTACTCTCGATGACGACAAGCGTTGTTAGTGTGCTTCCGATATGCCTGTTATATAATAGGACGCTGGATATAGTCGCTGTGTGGATTAGAACATTTGTCCCGGCTCCAGTGCAAGCCTGCTACCTTCGATAACGTTTAGGTGTCCGGCGGGCCTCGAGCGTGCACATGCAGCCGTAGCATGACGAAAGGCAACAACTTCGTTCTGAAAGCCGGACATACGGACCAGAGGACCTGCCGTTCTCAGACTGTCAGTGACTGTAGTGTAATTTTTACTGATTGAGAGCGTAACGCGTGTAAATCGTTCTGTGGAAGTCGCTACAGCAAGACGTTGGTCTTGCTGTAGCGACTCTTGCTACTCCTTGGTCCCTCCAACGTAGATGAGAATTCTAGGCTGTGTAGTACGGCGGATATAGGCTGTAGGTTCTCTGACGTGCATCACTCGATAGTGATATACTACCACATGAGGGCTGACGTGAGCCGGGGTAGGCTCGCGTGAGCTGGGGTAGGCTGGCGTGCTTTGGGTGTTGCGGATGTATCACAGTGAAAAGACGGAAAGCTTTCGAAAGAAATGATGTATGAAATAGCCCGCTATATTTTCCAATTTTCGTAGCGAAAAGCAGGTTTCTGATTTTCTGCCCTCTTTCTTTTGGACCACTAAACGATATGCGATGAAATTTCCAATCTTAAATTAATTAACCCAGCACAAAATTAATTGCATTAGTCTTAAATGAACGCTGACACCTTCTCCCCCTCCTCTCCCCTTTCCTCCCCCCCCCCCCCCCCCCAAAAAAAGTGATTCATTACGGTGTCAGAAGACTACTTAATCAATATTTTGCTACAGCGTCGTGTATATTTTTAATAAAGTAAAAAAAAAAGCAACTGCTCGATACAGAAATTGTAAATGGACTGGGGAAAAAGAAGAAATATAGAGTAAGTTACCGAAAATCACATAACTGTGCAACTATTTTGTTTTCACTCAGCGTATTTGCAGTTTTTTTACGAGTCACAAAATTGGGCATTATAATTTTTGCCTATTTTTAGCATTGTGTGTGTGCCTTCGATGACCCACGACTTTGATTGTCTTTGGTGGTTGTGTCTAAACCATAAAAAACGGCACGTGACCACGGAGAAGAGAGTGAGCGCGACTCAAACCGGCCAGTTCTTGATCGGCGGTTCTCGGGCGGAAAGAAAACGAATTTCGAGCCTTAAATTGTGCTCTGGGTAGCTCTCGTATGTCATGTACAAATAAACAACCTTGGCGAGCATAGTGTCCTTTTAAGGGTGAACGGTGTGTAAAGCCGAGGTTGCACTGCTTATGCATCTTACAAAAGGCAGTCTGCAAGGAGGAGTCACCTCAACATCCGTGATTTTAATGCCGCGTGCCAAGTTTCTCCTTGAGCTCATTGCCATGCCCTATTCGTAGCACAGATCACGCGGTTCGAATCTCTAAGCAGACTAGCCTTTTGTATGATGTGTATGCCGTGTGACCCCGACTTAAGAAATCTAGAAAAGCAGTCTGCCCTGTGTCGCTGAGCATAATGAAGCGTCATGCTAAATGATACGATGCCACGTTCTTTTTTTTAAGTTTAGATATATTTTTAGCTTAGTAAATCGCCCAGCTTTCTCCTCAGATTGCAGAGATGGGTTCTCCTGAATGCTTTGTGGAGAAGTCGATTCTCCAGATTATTTAGTGTTTTTCACACGACTGCGTAGGAATTACGTGTATCAGGTCTCCCGATCTAGTTCAATCTACACGTTTAATTAAACTTACAAAGCTTCGTGTTTTTTTTTTTTTTTGTGCGCTTTTTTTTGTTGCCAGGTTTTATTATTGCATTATCTGCTCAACGAATATCTAATAAGTTGCGGTATGTATATGCGGCCCGCAGATACATTACATGGGCTGCCATTTTGAAACCGGTAATTGTATGATTTTCGCTTTTGGTAGACCGGTCTCCTAACGCCGCAAAATTGTTCAAACCTTTTGCGAAGTCCTTCCGCCGCACGCAGTGCCTAATCCTGCCCCCTGCTTGCCTTCCCCTCTGTTCCAGCAGCAGACTGCGTGACCGCGGCGGACGTGGCCCTGCCATCCCTGCCGTCGTCCCCGTACTCCCCATCGCCGCCGTCGTCGTCTTCGTCCTCGTCGTCGTTCGCGGCGCCCCCGCATCCGCTGTACGGCCCCGCGAGCCCGTCCCCGCTGTTCGCGGCCGCCGCAGCCGCCGCCGACGGCTCGCCGCCGCTCTTCATGTCGCTGCCATTCCCGATGCCGCCCAGCCCGCGCCGGCCCTGCGACGCCTGGTCCCGATCCGAGGTGTCTCCGTACCTGAGCGGCGTGCCCGGAGTGCCACCTCCCCTTCACCTGGCCGCGCTGCCCAGACCCATTCCGACGGGCGGCATACACCACGGCCCGACCGGCCCGCGATACGACGCAGGAGCCGTCGGACCCCTCGGCGGGGACGTGTCCGTGACGGCGGCGGCGGCCGCCGCCGCAACCACCTACGCGTCTTCGGTGTACGCTTACGACCGGAGCATCGCGGCGGTGGCTGGCGTGACGCCGCACTTCGAGCACCACCCGGGTATCCCCCTGTCGTCGTACGGGCCGTCCTTGCTCTGGTGGGACTGAGCGAGAACAGCGGCGCCGGTGAGCCGAGCTGGCTCCCAAATCCGAGGGCCATCAACGCGCCACCCCTCTTCTTTGGAAGGAAAACGGCGAACCTCTGTTTGTGTTTCGCTTGTAGTGATAATCATTACGTGATTTGGTTATTGCTTCTTCGTGCGCTGTGTGTGTGTGCGCGTGTGCGTGGGTGTGGGTGTGTGCGTGCGTGCGTGAGGGTATGTCGTCGCTGTTGTTTCGGTGCGATCGAATAACGGGGCCTACCGTGTATGCGTGATGCCTGTAGATAGTCGCGCACCGAGCCGAAGGTGGCGGCAGTACAGCACTGCTGAGCTGACCGCCCCGTCATTAACGTCTCTGCAGCTCGGAAACGAGTAACGAAGGAAGCTGGGTACAAGTTCAGATGTGGTTCAGGCCTGTCGTAATTAAACTTTCACCAATTTCGGAAGATTAGATAAACCCTCATGTGGAAGCTGCGAATATCCAGTTTACGATTCCACCTACAATACGGTACGCTACCTAAGAAAAAACCAAAATCAGCGCTTGCATTGCGGCTATACTTCTCGTGGGAACGCTGAATCCTTCTGAAAATTACCAGGTGTGAACCTTCAAATCCATTGGGATAGCCCGAAAACTGAATGTCATCATTCGACCACTTTTACAGAATTGGTCGCCACACGGAGCCTGCGATACATTTTCCCGTCTGCTCTCACTTGTAACGCGATCAGCGGTTATGTTATCTACCTGTCCTCTTTTATACATCGCTTTTACATCGAGTCTAGGACGTTCCTCGCTATTTGAGGGAATTAACTAAATCAATTGACCGACGAGGTTCGCTGATTCTCCCGACAACACCTTTTCGAAGAGGCACGGAGGAATTTTTTTGATCTCGACAGTGACACGTGACAAATATCAAAACCGCCGTCCCTTGAGAAGCGTACCTAGGAACATAGAATCCTCGCCGATGGAAGAGTTCTATTTTAGTCGATGTTTTGCTGCTGCGGTGAGCAGCAACGAACCTGAGCTTATTTTTTACGTTGAGAGTAGTCCCGACGATTATACTATACCCTTCAGTCACTCTTTTTCTTTTCTTTGTTTTTTTTTTTTTCTTTTTGTGTTTACTTTTTTTACCGTTTTTTTTGTTTGTTTTTTTTTTTGTTTTTCTGTCTTCCTTTATTTTTTTCGCATCATATTGCACCCACGATATGTCCGTGTATATGAGTCGTATTGCATTGACAGTGTGTGTTTTTTTTATGTGTACAGTTATTTATTTTGCCCCTCCCCCCCCCTTTCCGCACTGTGCCGACAGCGTCGTACAGATGGATGAAGTGAGGACCGCAACCATATAACGTGCGAATCCCCTTGTATCATTTTTGTTGATTCTAATATTTTCCCCCTCCATTTCCGTGTTTGTCTGCCTGTCCGTCAAGTGAGTGTTTGGTAAACGTTTGATGTCGCTTGAGAAATTCAGTAATCGGGACACGCCCTGCTCCTTCGGCCTGCAAACATCGTCACATTATGCTGTCCAAATGTTCCTACTATAGCATACCCTGTGTTTGCAAAACCGTCAAAATAATTGTTGTCGAGGTGGCGTTTGTATTGTGTGCGTAGGCTTGACCTGGCGCTGTTCGCAGTATAGCTCGAATGACGAAGAGACCGAAAAGTTCGTAAAGGACCTACCGCGGATAGCCTGCCACTCTGCCCAAGCAGCAGCAGCAATTATTCATCGCTGTTCACACCAAAGGCGCACTCGGTGAAATGGTTTGTCCGTGTAGTATCATTCATCTCTCTGTTCCCGATTGACAAGGTTTGCTTTCGCTTCACGGCGTGAGACTCGCCTGGCTATTAATGCCTTTTGCTGTGGCGCCGACAGAAAGCGCATAGGTTATCCGTCACGGTTGTGGATATAATCGCGTCCGGTTAACAAAAATATACCTGATGTTCTTTGGTGTCACGGGGGTAGCTTGTTTTAAAGTGCCGTTGACACTTGCTCGAACGTTAATCTCATTTCTCGATGTTAAATGATATAACGGCGGTGGACTTTTTGTTTCCGTAATAACACCTCTGCACACTTTCTTCTTCGAATAGTGCGGGAACATTCTTGAACATTTTGATATGGCATTCTGATTTTGGGGGGATTGCAGTCGTGGCTCGATGACCATTTGCGTACGTAGAAAAGGAAAAACGCCGACTTATGCACCAAGATTCAACGCCCCGCCCTAGGCACGTAATGTTGCCCGTCTATCCCTTTTCACCGTCACAGAGTGCTTCCTTTTTGTTGCCCTAGAGCTCCAGCTGGAGGTCACTGCCTGAATAGTGCTTCTACGTCCTGGTCATTTATCGCTCCCGGCCGTAATATGCAACCTAACTGGCGCCCCTTGAGGCCAGCTTATCGAAATACAGAATAACGTGGACGGCCATCGGGATCGCTCCTCGCGTTTCACTGTACACTGCGCGACATTTCTAGCACGAACACGACTTCGGGGCCTTCTTGCATTTCGCCGAGACAGTGTACTGACGGGCACCCAACTTTGCCACTTAGGTCGGTCCCGAACGTCGGCTTTCCGCCACACTATACTCCGTTTCAGCTTACGATGAACCGGAGATGGCGCAACGAGAGCCATCGAAGCCAATTGCGTGCCGCCTGAGCGTCACATGACCTTCGCGAAAGCGCAGTGACGTCCGACCTGGTCAGTTTACAGGACTGGATTGGCTGGAATGGGTTGCAGCGGCCACTGCGGTCCACCATGATCGAAAACCGAGGGCCGTAGGTCTTATGGCAGTCGTTCGGTCCTCTGAAAGAAACGGGCGATAGCTTGTTTCCGCTAGCAGTGTCGCGCTATGTACATTTGTCACTGATACGCAACACGTACTTTTTCACGAGGAAACCGGCTTTGCTTTCTGCCCTTGTTGTTCTACAATGGAGTTCGTTCAAAATAATACTTTTTTAAATGTGAGCTCGTTACTGCATTAAAAATCGTGTTCCCGATTACTAACCCGTTGGCAGACCTGAATGTCAACGCATTCAGATTTCTCATCGTGAAGGTATAATTAACATCCAATCCGGTTGAATACCGGATACACCATCTTTGTATACACCATCATACACTTTAGCTCAGTAGTTCCGTGCTCTCTTGCGGGAGGCAGGGATACGAGCGCGGTACTTTCCATGTACGAAAACTCGTGCAAACCAAGCTTCGCCCAAAACCACGCCATCGCGCCTTTGCTTTGCTTTGTACCCGAGGCACTTTTGTTTCGTTAACCAAAGGCCCACAGCCACATTTGTACGATGCTAAACGCCACGGTGTGTCGCCGGTGCGCCGCTCGCCGTATTCACACTAAAATACCGAATTCAATGGAACTTTTATGACTAAGGTTGAAGCTTGGGCTAGTCGGTGTGACATCTTTAAAAGGTTAAAACAGCGCAAACTACGAGGGACGCGAATCAGGAGGACACATGCACAGCGCTGAGTTTCCCGGTTACACAACACAAGATGCAGACCCGTGATGTGGTGTTGCGCCTCGGTAGCTGTTTGTCGCCATGCAGCTCTTTCCCGGTGTCGCTCTCTCTGGAGGTTGGTAGGTTGAGGTGAAGGCCGAGCGAGGACAAAAACTCCACCCAAGCTTGGCATTACCTACGAGCTTATGGTGCTTATATGTGCTAACGAAGCACATAAAGTGCGCCGGAAAGCATGCAGTAGCTAGCCTTAGTAGCGCGGGCAACGCACTGATGCGGTCTCAGAAGTGCATGTAATCGAAGAGCCCAGGCGCGAGTGTGACCTGAGTTGTGTGCTAAGCCTGTCCTCGCGTGAGACCGCCTGCATAACAGTGAAGGCTTATGGAAGCAGTTACTGGTCCCTTAACCCTGACCATGTTATTAATAGTGTCTGTAATACCCGCTGGAAACTGTGACGTTCGTCCCGATTCGTGCTTGCTGTGGAGTGTGAGGCTAACAGTGTATAGTACCTAATATTTCTGAATAATTTGGCAAGGTGATCAGCGTCGAAGAGCTTGGTTTATTCTTTATGTGTTTGTTTGTTGAGTTTTGTCGGGACTAACGTTCCGCCTGGTATACCTTTTCAGATTTGATCAACGCTTTTTGTGCTCAACTCTAAGCCGCTATAGCTCGGGAATACAGTTTATGTTGGGAGGTTATTTGGTTGCAAGGTTGTGGCTAAATTTCAAACGAACCCCTACGTTGTTGAAGGGATGCTGAGGCCGGAGACAGCTGCTGGTGAACATTGAGCGGAGTGATGATCCCAGGGCTCTATCTCTGGTATATCACAATGCTCAACTACGGCTGTCTGCTTAACTCCTACTTCACTGAAAAGTTGACCGTTGTTTAGGTTTAGTGGCAACACTTAATCTCTGATTGTCGTGTCAGTTTTTCCGATTATTGACGTGCTCTTTGTGTGGCTTCCCCAGCTCAACTGTGATGTTCACATAAGCCTCCCAAACCCATTTGTTCGTCCTTTAAAAAAAAATACAGTTGTTTCCTCCAGTATAATACCACTTTTTGAGTGTCAAGGTGTAGGTGTTCTATATATTGGCATTGGAATCATTGTACGTAATTGAAGGAGTCGAGGAAGCTTGACGGAAACGGAATCGAGGATAAATTTTGGGGAGACAACAAAGCGTGAATGAGAGAGAACTTGCCGTCGTTTGACCATGTGCTGCGTTTAAGGTGTTTATGTGCGTCAGATGTCTACCTGCCTTGAGAATCGGAGATGAAGAGATGTGTCAAAATGAAGTATAGGCGGTGAAACTATGTCGCGTGTTTCTGGTACAGGAGCATCGAAAATGGTGCTACATGACCGCTCCTTCATCGAAAGAGAAGGAGCGATGATGATGATGATGTCTCGTCCATACCCTGTGTGTAATGACCACTAAAAATGCTCTGCGGTTTCATTATTGTGGAAGAAGGGCACAAGTTGCCTGTTTAGCCTAAGTGGTTCTCCATACGATACAGGTCCCCAACGGGACCTTGCGACAAGAAAGGCTCCAATAGTCCCTCGAGGCTTCTTTATCACTTTTGTTAATGGAACAGACTGTATGAAGTGAAGATGAGATGTGTCAGACGAGACAATTGTTTTATGTGGAGCTGCAAGTCTCCGCGGATATGTGCCTTCATGTTAAGAGGTGTGGTGGGAGGAACCACCGCGTCTTCGTGGTTTGAGTATAGACGTCTTACGTTTGTTCCAGCTGAAGATGCCCGGTTATGCAACTGCATACATGCTCTATGGCAAATAGTAGGCACCGTTTGTGGTCTTTTTGTGACACGTTTGAAATTTTAAGCCTAGTATACAAAATTTGTTGGGTCTTACACGAGTGCATACGCTGCCGTTATCAAAATAGAGCACTTGTTTGTTTCAGATTTTTTTACCGGTATTCATATAAATCTTTTGAGCACAAAAACATATCCTTTTTGAAGCTTATAAAGTATTGTCTTTTTTTTTTTTATTTGTCAATGTATTGGCAGTCAGATATTTTTTCACAGGCCTTAACTTGCCTTAGCTTACGCGAAAATGCTTGTGATTTTGTCTTCTTTTTTTTTTTACAGTTGCAGAATATACCTTACTTATTAATTGATGTAATTCTGGGAATACAGAAATGCATATATGTTTTATTCTTATATTAGTTACAGCCACTTCGATTATTTCAAATGGCATTGGAAATATTTAAAATGTTGAAAGAGAGCATTTTTTTAATGGAACAACCTTTGACTATGTAACTTCTAGTTTTATTTTCACATTTCCTTAGCCATCTCTAAGCCTTATTTGTAAAGAGACAAACACAGGATGTTAAGTTAAGATTCAGTTTGAGAGCTATATTACCTGCCACTCTTTAGTATATAAGGTTTCGTCGTCTTGCCTTGGAGTTACGCTGATCCAGTCAGAGCGCGCATAGTGTGCTCCTTCCAAAAAATGTTTTCCCTAGGAATGTCTGACAGTTCTTTATTGGTTATAAAAATCTTTTTTTTTCCTTTTCGATAAAGAGGGGGGAGGGGGGCATGATAAGGTTAATAGCTTTTTGTTCCTAGGTCAGAAATATTGACGCATTGAGAACTACAACTGCAACAGTCAGATTTAGGGCTGACAGATGGTGAAAATTGAGTTGAATGGTTACCTGCGCCGGCGCGCAAAGCTAAAAGGAAAGCCCCACGAGCAATATCGGACAAAGGTTGAAGTCCATCCAGCGTAATTGCAAGGCAATGACGGCAGCTGTGCAATCGGTTAATGCTCTGCATCCCGTCAGTGTACCCAACTAGCCATTTTTGCAGCCTCGAGTTCATTTCAAGCCTGTTTGGGAGGTGGTGTGGAGAACCCAATGACACATGAGTGAGAACGAAAGTCTGGTCGTAGTGGTCTTACATGGTGCTTTGGCGAACTGCCACGTGAAATATGCACGAGTCGAATGCTGTGATGTTAAAGCGCGTGTTATGGAGATGCCCGGCTTTTTTGCTGCGGCGTACGAGGGAGTCATCTGTGTGCGACCGCGGTGCCAAGGCGCCGGTCCACATGCTTTTCGAAGAATGTGATACTTGCTTGGACATTTCCTACTGCCGCATGGGGTGGGGTCCCGTCACACTTCCGCGCCTAGTATTATTCGTTCGCGAAGCACGCACTGTGTAAACCTGCACTGTGACCGGAGAATCGAGGGTAGTTAGAGGAAAACAGAGAAGCAGTGCGAACATTCGTTTTTTCTCCTGCGAATGCTTAGGGAGAAATAAACGAATCTGTAGAAAATCCTCTCAGCGGTGGTCGGTATTTCGCTATGACAAGGTTTCCTTGGCAGAATAAATGTCATTTCGGGCCGGCTCGGAGTAAACTTCGATCATATTTTCTTTTTTTACTATTCGTTGACTAATTTTTGTTTTGTAAATGTGTGTCCATCTAGACTGCGTAGAAGTGGACGCGTAAAGGTTTGTTTTCGTCTCAACGAGGAGGGTAGTCGTTCGAAATGCTAAAGCACACGCGAGGAAAACAATACCGCGAAGATTGATGGATCAGGGATGGGATTGAAGCGACCGCATGAGCCGATATTGCATCTACATTTCGGGGAGATAAAAGTAGAACAAAGAAGAACGGGAGCTTTTGGCAGGGGGAAGGGGGAGTTAACTGCGTTGCTTTAGAAACGAATAGAACATAGCGCGAAAAGGTGACGGGTCCCCGAGCCCTGCGGACAGCGGTGTACTGTCGGGCGTCTGACGTGTGATACTGTTTGTGATAAAGCTATAGCGTGGACGACGAGAGAGGTGGGAAGAGAGTCCCTGCCCTCGGAGCAAGCGTCTACGCCGTATTCGCGCTCAGTTTTGTGAAGTGTCTAGTTTGTACGAAAGCGTCGACGAAGAATAATATTACAGCGTCAGTTGATAACGAGTGCGCCGTGCCATTTACGCACGGCGGAACACCGTGAAGAAAAATGTCTAGCAGAGTTTGTAAGAGGTTATTTTGTATAAGGTTGTCGTTGCCAAATAAAAAAAGCTGTGAGTCAAGAAAGCAATGTAGACCTGTGATTCTGCCTTTTTTTTTCTTCTTCTTCTTTTTTCTTTCTCCAACACTCGGGGCTTTAAAAACGCCCGCTCGTCTCCCTTCCTGCACAGCATGCGGCGAGTCAACCACTGGGACAAGGTGAGAACTCGGGTTCTTTGGTGTACTCAACTTAAAGGGACACCGAAGACTTAAATACATTTGTTTAAAGTGACTGTATATAGTCATAGAGAGCTCAAGAACCGCAGGGTATTCCCAATCATACTATCATCGCTTCGCAGGCAACGTGATAGCGGCATTAACCAATGAGTACGCGGACCAACGAATCACAAAGCTGGAAGCGTAAACATTATAGGCCCGCCCCGCGTTTCTTGTGCAATCAGTGACTATGGCAAACGTACGTCACCAAAAAATCTTTCCGCGAAAAACAAATGCATCTAATTAAAAACTCTATGTACTTAATCATTTTTTTGCGTATTTTGATGCAATGCATTTTTGACCTTTCATACACTTGAGCAACCCATGGACCGAGTGAGCGTATACAAAAGAGAAAAATATATTTTTCAAAAGTGACATCGATCTAAAGGCAACCATGAAAGCTCCGATACTTCTGCTCGAACATTTGTGATAGAAGAACAAACTTGGGCCTAAACCACGCACCGTAGACTGCGTTAATAAACGATTAGGCACATCGTAGCGCGAGACTGTTACCGTGACCACTACATCGTCGCTGTTTTGCACTTCACTTAAAGAAGGGTATCGGTGCGCGTCAAATTTTACTGCTTAGGTTAGTGCACCAAACGAGCACTTTCCGCCAATCAGTACTTTTGGCGAAAGTCCTTAAGTACTAAGAGTAAAACAGGAAAAGCTAGCGATGACTCCTTCGCTCTACGAGCGTCATGCAGTGTGCACATGCGAATCTGTGGACATCAATTCGACACTACATCCTGCGTATGGTAAGCTCTAGAAAACGCTTCCTCCTATTTGTGTGTAGCCCTGTTACACCGCCATTAAATTGACAAGCTCGGCACTGGACACGGACTAACTTCAGGAGAGTGTGTGTATTGTCCATGTAACGCTTGGAGTTGGCAGTACGAGAAGTATTTGCGCGCAGATGGTATTCGCGAGAGAAAGTCTTCTCTCGAGATCCTAATTACAAATGGAAATCGATTTGTAGTAACCGGAGCGTTTAGCTCGACACGCAGTCCGTAGAGCGACTATAAGATAGCAATATATATTGACTGGTAGGCGTACCTGAAACGGGGGTAATAAGACTCACGCTATATTACCTTGGTGTCGAATACTTCACGCTGAGTAAATAGGTATATTAAAAACAGACTGACGTGAAATAATAATAATCAAAATTGCCAGCGTAAATGCTGATTTATTAATCACCTTTGGTTTGAAGCCTTTAGAAGTGCCCGGGCGACAGGTGCGTGGAATTTATCCGTGCACTCTTAGACTCGTTTCACCTTTACAATGAATACTTTAACACTTAAAAGTCTGGCGGACCTGCACTCAGCTAACACGTTCTAAGGATAACAGTTCCTCTCAGCGGCATATAATCTTAGCACGCGGGGATTTGTGGCTAAAGACCTTTCCAATGTTTACAGAATCACAGTCGAGTGTGCGATCTTCACAGCCCAGAGCGTGCGTGTTCGTCGCTTCGGAAAGCGAGCAAAGCACGCGCCATACGCACGAACACTCAAAATGGCACCGGCCACACGCTGTTTTTTTGTAAAGGTTTATAGAAAGCGAGAAAAACGCATTTCACATGCATGAACGCATGTGCTCGTGCCAACCAAAACATTCGATATAGCTACGTTCTTGCGCCTGCTCCTCCTCAAGTGCACGCTAAAAAGGTTGTCGTCTTACACCCTTTTGTACCATATAATTCACCCCAAATCTTTGGTTCGACGTACAGCGCTCTGACTTCGAACAGACGGCCCAACTTTTTGTGAAGGATGGGAGAACGGTGAGATATACCTCATTAAAGAGCTAAGGTACGTATCAAATACAAGAGAAGAAAAAACAAAAAAACACTGAAGTTTTGCAATAGGGCCAGGAAAATCCCGATTACTTATTTTGTAGTCAGTAACACGTACGTTAGCTATTTTAATAAGTTGTACCACTCGGCTATCAAGCTGCTCGTGAAAGTTGGTAACGTCGGTTCGACGTCAGCGCGCTGAACATCGAACTGAAGTTTTGGGGTGTCGTATATGGGAAAAGGCGTGTAGGAATATACCGCTTTTTTTCTTAAAGTGGGTTCAAAACATGTGAGATAGAAAGCAGTATTCCATTCCTCAGAGCAGTGGTTCTCGAATGGGGGTCGCGAAGGCATTCTAGGGGTCCGCGAAGCCCTGCCTCATCAGTCAAGCCCGACAATAAAAGCTGTCTTTTTCAGGTCGAGAAGAAATGTTTCAGTTTTCGATCGAGTTTTCTCGTGTGTATGTCAATAAGAGAGGTCTACTTCACACTAGCCCTTAGTTATATTATTTTATTAAATCATTATTATATTTAACCTGTACCTTTTACCTCCCCTCGCCACGAGCTGGGTCCTTCATCATCTCCGCCGATCCACAAGGGGTCAGCGGAACATCAATGGCTGAGAGCCGCTGCTTCAGAGGATGTGGCACGCTTTGAAGAAAGCATGAACTTCTTTAGTCACTGACAGAATGAGAACATCAAGAGGTGCATTTCGAACGCTCGGCCTCCAGCACGCACTCCTTCCCTACCGCCGTGCTCTGGCATCGAGCGCACGCTCGACGCACACCCAAAGCAGGAGCGTTGTCGAAGGTTCGCGCTGGAAGTGCGACAACTGAAACTCCTTTCTGTGGTTTTCATCTTGTCAGTGACTACAGCGCCCGAATGTACTCATCTCGCAGCGACACGTTTGGGGATCTTTAGGAGGCAGAGGTGACCCTAGATACTACCGTGTGAGACTTGAGAGACTTCTCCGTCTGCTCAAAATCTGGTGGACTAAAAACCGCCGGTGGTATTGTCCCCGAGTACAGCCCACGTGTCGCTCGATCCAGTCTATCAGGCTTGGAGTTACAAAACAAAATATCGCAAAAACTAAACCTCAATACACGAAATTCCTCTAAAGTAAAGTTGATGGTGGGTGTCATTTCGTTAAAACATTCGGTTATCGGAGGCTGTTGAAATGCCGCTCTTGATTCGGTGGTGACGACAATGCTCTGAGATACAGTCAGAGTAACGCAGTCGAATGATGTACGAAAGCGCAAAATTGTTTCGTATAGTGAAGACTACTACTCACTAGTCAACTGCTAGACACCTGCACCGATTCTGGACATAAAATTCAGAAGCTCCCCAGTGATGTGGCGAGGCAAAATAGCTAGCGGTCATTTTCATTTTCCGCTTGTTTCGGATAGTTAGCATCATAGCCACATTTTAGTGCGCGCAGAGGTTGAGTTCCCCGTAGTGAAGACTGAAGGATATAAAATTTTCTCTAAAACTCGGTGAAACCCTTACGCCATTCTGACCACTTAAAAAGGCGGCGTAAATATGGTGACTGACAGACTGGGAAACGCAGGACGTGGCGCGTCCGGTGCATCCTCCTCAACCAATGAGATTGCAATATTAGACGACAAAAACGAAAAGGACAAATCGCGAAGCAAGATGCTTCAATATGATAGGACGCGCCGTATATGTTTTAATCGGTCAGTCCCTATACTTTGTTTCAGTTTAAGTCCAGACGCAACCGACACTCTGAGGTAATAAAACCCTGCAGGCAGTGTCAAAAACGCAAATCACTAGTCCGTTTTCTGTTTACGATTGGTTCAACGATGACGGAACACGTAGAGAAACATGGCGAACACCATGATGGTGCGCTTTTGACGATTCCTGATCGCTCCTATCGGCTCGCATACGTGCCGATTGGAGCGGCAGCTGCTATTCGCGACTTCAGCGACCTATAGGGGACGCCACTACCGAGCGGATACGGCTGTCTAATACCGGTCGTGCTGGGCCATTGTGGTGCCAGGAGCGAGTCTTCGACTGGTGTGCTCAGAATCCTGCGCTGCCCATACATCAAAACGTGGTCCAGAAGTGGCAACAAATGACGTCATAGAAGCCGGAGTGTCATGCTTTTGCATTTCGCGATCTTGGCGGTTGGTCGTACAAATGCTAACTAGAAGGCTGCGAGTAGTACAGCCGAACGCGAGTGTCGCTGTCGTCACAGCGTCCCGATTTCTGGCTGCCGAAGCTTCCGTGGACTGCCACACTGGAGATCAACCTGCAGCAGAACAGGCGTCTGCCACATACACCATAGATATTTGCACGCCGCCAGGATCGCGGCCGGCGACAGCATGGCACTTCTATGACGTCATCAGCCGGAAATTGAGGAACCACATTTTTTCGTCGCGGTAAACACACCAGTCGGAGACGCGTTCTAGGCACCATATGTGCCATGTGCCAGCTCAAAGTACTACGCCGGAGCATCAGCAAGCAAGCATTTGACTCAAATTGGTTTGCCCCGTGTTTTATCTCCCACGTTTCGAACTTGCGTTGGCGTTAAGCGAGCTTCCAGAGGCTTGACTTTCTTCGAGGAAGCGTTCCAAGGACTGTTTACTTTTCTTTCACGGTGCGTTGCAAGAACTGTTTACTGTACTTTCCGGTTCACGCGGTTGCGTAGGTTGCGTGCAGAGCAACATGGGAAACAGCTGGTGCCAAAGTTACGATAGAGCCACCGGGACAACATTTTGATCGTGCAAACCATCGACAACGTGTAATAACGCGGTAGCCACAAGAGACGAGCAGAAATCGCGCAAGGACCTGTTCCGGCTAGTTCACTTTTTTCCCGCTAGGTGCCGTCCGTTTTGCTGGAGGCGTGAATACATCGTCGCTTGCGTCTGCACTCAAGGCGAAAGGAAGTATATCCACTGTAACAGATCCGGAGCGTCTGCTCTAGCGGAAAAGTGACTGGAACAGCCAATCACTGCAATCCATGGGAGAGCAGATGCTTCAGGTTTATTGTGCCGCGTTTACAC